CCGCCCCCCCCCCCCAGCGTATCTCGGCCGAATGCCAACGCGGTCCCGCCAGAGGCGGTGAAGCTCATCCTAGAATTCGACCATTACTGCTCTTTAAGTTGCTGCCACGTAAAATTTTGTATTATATTTTGTATATAAATAAAGAAATATCACCCCGTAAGTCAGGTGAAGTCACATTGAAATCACATTGCGTTCAGACGCAAATCGCGATGTGGGAGAAAACCGATTCGAAACCACCTCTAGAAGTGGTTTGGGATCGAGGCGCTTTCAACGTGATTTGGGACCACTTGAAACCGGCTTCGGGGAAAAACCACATGCAAAGCGCCTTCACTGACTTTCTATCAACAGGGCCGACATGAAACCTTTCTTGTGTAATCCGACTTAACTAATTTTTGAAACGGTTATCTCCAAACACAGGTGCAGACATTGACCACGCTCAGGAGATCTCTGGCCTTACCACGTGTACAGCACTGTCCGTCGCTTCCTTTACGGGTTCTGCAGACATCGTAAAGCTGCTGCTCCACAAGGGGGCATCAGTAACTAAGAGAGACGGGGGTTCATTATCAGTTGTCCCACTTCATGTAGCAGCGACCCGAGGTAGGTCGTCAATTTATACAAATAAAGATACTCAAGATCCTTACATTTTTTTACAGCGTAGGGTCGGTGGCTTTTGTATGTCTGCTAAGATTTTGTGCTGTACGCACATTTTAGGTCAATATTTTACTTTAGCAATTGCGGATGCTGGTTACTCGTATATCAAGTCGGATTTTATGAAATCACATATAACATAAGAAAACACGAAACTAGAAATTTATGACGGGTTATTTAAACGTTTAGCGCTTATTTGTGTTTCACATTCAATGCATGTAACGTTACTAGTAATACTATCAATTTTATTACTTGAAAAAAGGAGAGCAGTCATTGAAGCCGAGGGTACCTCAACCAAGTGAGTGAGTGTGTGAGTGAGTGAGTGAGTGAGTGAGTAAGTGAGTGAGTGAGGAGTGAGTGAAAAAGTTGCTTCATGTATATTCTACGTCGTAATTTCAGGGCATATAGAAGTGGTGGACTTGCTGGTACATCATGGTGCAACGTTAGACATACGGGACGCCTATCAGAGGACGCCGCTCATGACCGCCTGTGCGTACAAACAAGTCGGCACAGTCCGGCGACTGATAGAACTCGGAGCAAGGGTTGATTTGACCGACGTTCGTGGCCAAACCGTCCAGAAGTGAGTGCCATGTCACCGAAAAGTCGAACGAACAACTGTTATTACTTGATACAAAAGTATTGTTTTTGGGTAGAAGGGCTGTTTATTTGTGCATGTTTGCCCGGACAGCATAGATGGGTGGGTCGGGAGAATCGACAGGCAAGATGATTGACTAATGGGGAATAGGTTGTCAGAACAGGAGTGGGGTGAATATAGTCAAAATACCAGAATGTAAAAAAAATCAGGCACGGGGAATGATGTAAAGTTAAAGGTAAAAAAACACATTTCCTGGAAGCCTGTGATCGACGGGCAATATGACTAATGGGGACTAGCTTGACAGCACAGGGGCGGGGTGAAGATAGTCAGAATGACAGAATGTAACAAAAAAATCAGGCATGGGGAATGATGTGAACTTGAAGGTACAAAAAAACACATTTCCCGGAAGTCTGTGATTTTCTGTTCCCTAAATGAGTCATATTTTCCACCAGTTACTGCGAGAAGGACAAAGTCGGTGACCGGGATTTTAAAGAGATGCACAAGCTGATACAAGAGGCAATGGAGACCAAGCTGTCGAGATGCTGCAACCCTACGTGTGGCAAACCAGGCTACAGGTAGGTTTTGTTACACACGGGTACAAATATATTGTTTTTGGTATGTTTGTGTCAGGAAGGAGGGGGTTGGAACGATAGGGAGGTCGAATTTGACGTAAAATCTGTGATGTCTTTTTAACAGTACTTCCACTTTGAGGACTAGGTACTAGTTACTTTGTCGCCCTGTGTGCTAATGTTATTGAAACAAATGAATTATATATTCTCATCACTATATTTCCCTACAAAAATCAATTGAACCAACGCCACCTCTATATCTGCTAGTTGTTGAGTGAGTTGGGTCCAATGGAGATCTCGTCACGGCGTCATCACTTGACACTGTCGATCTTTGTTAATTCGAGGTCATCTTTGTTCATTTGCAGTTCAAATTGGCCATACAAAAACGTGTTTCCGTTAGTGGAGCAGATAACATCAAATTTTGGAGGAATCTTTCAAATTGTGATACAAGCACCAAACGTGGTACAAATACTCATGAGACATTACTCTTTTGAAAAAGTACACGGGTCACTTGATTTCACTTTTGGCGCCCCCTGGCGGCGCTTTTTGGTACTTCAGCCGGCCTTCCGGGCTTTGTATCTCCTGTTCTAAACATCCTAGAGTCATGATTTTTGTGGTAAAAAGCTGTTAAAGTAAGAAACAAGTGTGGTAAATTTGATGTCTCTAGCTGCTTGCGTTGGAACTGGAGAGGCTTTTTTTGCCGGTGCACAATTTGCTTCAAGGGTGCCTATTTTTGCATCGGAAGGTCGGCTGTAGTACCAAAAAGTGCCCTTGGAGCAAATTTTTGCACCGACAAAAAAAAACGCCCCTGCAGTTCCAACGCAAGCAGCTAGAGACACCAAATTTACGTCACTTCTTCCTTTCTTTAACAGATACAAAGCCAAGAAGGTCGGCTGCAGTACCAAAAAGCGCCGCTAGGCCCGCGTACTTTTTCAAAAGAGTAATGTCTCATGAGTATTTGTACCAAGTTTGGTGCTTGTATCACAATTTGAAAGGTTATTTCAGTTATCTGCCCCATAGGCCCACTACGTGCTGAAATAGCGGTCAACTTTTCTGAATTCTATCGTAGTTATAGCTTGTGTAATTCTTATCTCCTCTACAGATCCACCCTGAAGCTGTGTGGCCAGTGCAAGCTGACCCGGTACTGCTGCCGTGACTGTCAGAAACAACACTGGACTGCCGGACACAAGAAGTGCTGCGGACATGACGTGTACACTGGCGAGACACCGGAACCATTCCGTGAAGTGGCCAAGTTCATAGCAGGAGGATTGGTATCCAAGAAAGACTTAGAAAATTTCTTTCAATCGTAATTCAAGAAACCTTTTTTTCTTGTCTGAATCTCCCCCAAAAATGTAAACTTGAAGAGCACGAAAAGTAAAAGAAACTCTGATTTCTCGTTTCTAATGATCTGACGTACTGTTGACAAGACGATGCCACTACGTACATGCATACGTATACAGCTACATGTGTATACCCGATTTTGGCTGATACAATAACATGCAACCTCTTGCCAACTCATTAACTAGTATAAGGTATTCAGCAATAAGGATATGATACTGGCGCCTTCGTATGAAATGCTAAGTTTTGTTCAAGCCGTAACACACGTACTCGGTCCAGAAGGCATACAGTTATGCACGACTTCCTCATGTTTAAAAAAATGTAAATGGAGTCCGATTTTTACAAATCAACTTTTTTTCTTTCCTTTTCTTTCAATCGGTACGTGAAAGCTGATTAGGATATGACAGAATATTGTCATGTTTTAACGTTGTTTGTAATCACCGTATCGTGTTTTATCTATATAGCAAAAACACTAAATTTCTACTGACCTGGCTGTTTTGTGTTGTGATGGGAATCAAATGTTAAGCTGTTGAAGTGTTTGGCAATGTGGTATTATCATTCCAGTGGAATAAACAGCGATTGACGTATACTGTCTTCCGCATAACCTCCTCGAGGGTGGTTCACCAGTAGGGAATTTCGTCGTCTCCATTCTGGTGGTCGACAGAGCACGCAGCCCTTTTCATCTTCGCCCTTATCTATCTTTATCTTTCATTTGAAAACAGCGTTAGCCCTATGTAAAAGGAATAAAACCTTCTACGTAGAATTGTTGGGTCTGATTTCCCAAGTATTGTAGTTGGGGGTTGACAAGCATAGGATGCGATTTAGGGAAATGACCGCTGTGTGTTGTAGAAGTTGGTTAGACAGTGAAGTTTTTTTATCCCCATTCACCGTCCACTTATTGTAGCATTTTTCATTTGTTGCGATGTTTCCTGTAACCGCAAGGGGGCATTGTGAACTGAATTTACATATTCAAATGTTTTCTTCGCTGTCTGAAACTTATAGCGATGTTCCTTCTAGGAAAATGTAATCTTCTTTGCAAGGGATGCACTTCACGTGCACCATGTGTTATTAAAACGCTGGAATACTACAAACGACCGGAAATATTCTGTGTATGTAACGTTTGTAAACTACGTACCTGGTGTGCTTGGATGTTGTTAGCGTTTCTGACTTTAGAATACGCCTTAGCGACAAGGTAGGAAGTCATTGACAGTACTTTTCATAGTTTTTAGCAACAAATCCAAATACGCATAGTTCAAAGTTATGGCTTTATTCATGACCTTTCCTTTTTATGTACAATTCATTATTTGTATTCCACGTGCTCGTATACTAGTATCTATCTCTCTGGGGCATACATAGTGCTTCTGATGACCCCGTTAAGTTTCCAGCCAAACAGTAAATATATCGTAGTGTACTTGTCTAGTATCATTTACAAAGCAATTACAGAGGGCAATCCGTGTAGCTGTCGATACCATGGGGCATTGTTGTTTTTGTCAAAAATATGTGTGAACACAATGGAAATATTTGTACAAGACGGTAGCACAAATTAGCCTATAATTTAATAATAGCAGTTGGAGCAACTTTTTTTAAATTCACAACCTCAACTAATGACTCATATGTTACAGAATCACTAACCATCTTCTGTACTGTGTCACAATGGGTATTCTGTTTCAGGATGTAAATTCCAAATGGCCTTCGGGTCTTATTACATGGTGACTATCGATAAAAACACAAGAAAAACACATGAAATATTAACATTAAGGTTCTGCTTGCGAAAATCTCTCCAACGCTTCCGTGATGTGTTGTTTCATGGCGTTGGTCATGTCCACCATGTTCTGGACGTCATCCCAGTTGTCACTGAGATCCTGGGCTGTCGTTATGTATTGTTCCTTCAACCAAGACAGTATCGGCAGCACTCTATCCGGCTGTGAGACGAACAATAAAGACTGCATACCTCGCAACATACTTTAATATGTAACGATTTTGCATACAGACATATAGCCTCTACGTATCGAGGGAAGTTCCACCGACTGGTTACTAAACTTTTTATTTCAAAGCGATGTACATTCAGTGCCGTTCTCTGTTAAGGTATTTGCTATTTTGGTAAGAAGATTATCTAAGATACAGAACATGTTACGTGTATATCAATTTAAGGGTGTTTTGCTTACATGGATGAATCTTGAGGAGCAGAGGCGGGCAAAGAAGTCATCAATGGCATCATAACGTCCGGAGGACGGGAGAACTGAAAAATGGCGAAAAGTAACAGTACTGTGTTGTACAATACATGTATATATGCTACAGATGAAGATGATTACGTCAAATGTTTGTGTGTCTGTGTGTGTGAGGGGGGTGGGTATGTGTATGTGTGTGCGTGTGTGTATGTGTCTGTGTGTGTATGCGTGTGTGTGTTTATGTGTGTGCGTCAAAGATTTTTTTTGAAAGAGAGAAATTCCTGGGGTGTACATGTCTGTGTGTGTTGTGTGTATGTTTGTGTGTGTGTGTGTGTGTGTGTATGTTTAAACGTATGTGTGTGATTGAGCGCACATGGCATGCATGTAGTTGATAGTTGGAAATTGACTAAGTTAATTTTCTGTCTCTGATGATATCTTTTAGTGTTGTTTATACATTTTCACAAATCTCATTATGCACAAGTTCCCTGGCAAAACAAAATCAAGACTTCTGTGCAAATGCCGCTCAAGCGCGAGAAGCCGCCTCTCCACTAAAGACCACATAAACTTCAAGAACTTGGCCCTACAGTAGAAAAGTTGTGATTCTACTCAACCCGTCCATGCAAGCTCGGTCTGAGAGTAAAGAAACTCTTTGTACACAACCAAGTCTTTTATTCAGCCGACGTTTCGGTAACCGTCTGTCACCTTCCTCAGGGCAATTCTGACTGGTTCACATTGCACTGCAGCACAGGTTTCGCTGCTACAGATGCATTCCCAAGCGTGTAATATTTACATATCTAATTATACGTACACGGTTGTGTAAAAAGTCGCTTTACTCAGTGACTTACCAACTTAACCCTACCTAGACCGGGGGGGGGGCTAAAAGTGCCCGCGGCAACTTTGATGTCACCTAGCGTCTGAACGGTTAGCCGTAGAACGGCCAAACTTGGTGACTTTTCCTAGAATATTGTTGGCAACAATAGACCCATTCGACTTTCACGGACCGCATAAACTGCTTACGTCACAGGGGGGACATTTCGAAAGAACGCCGTTCTAGAACGCGGAAATCGAACGCGGCTTGCTTGATATTGATTTTTTCCAGCTGTTGGTCATATCGACAATCTGAATGAGTAATTCAGATACACCACTTCACATCTTCCACCAATGGAGGGTGGAGGAGTTGAAGGATTACTTAAGGGTAAGGGGCCTAAAGACGTCAGGATACCGCAAACAAGAGCTCGCGGCCTTGGCGTTTGCCGCTACGCAAATGAAGACAGCAATCCAGGAAGATGCCCAGCAGCTCAAACGACAACAGGCCCAAGAGTACGACCAGAAACTGACATTTTCAAACGTTTCAAAACTACCTGATCCATTCTCATTGAAAGGAGGGTGGCTGCAAGAAGAGGAGGGATTGAAGTACTGGCCAGAGGTGTCCTTTCCAGACGTGTGCAACTTTCTAAAATTTCCCGACCTGCGCCGGTACAAGGAGTCTAAAGCCTATCGGTACTTTACCGAAGGGTGGCTGTCCCCTGTTTCCTTCCACCCAATCTCACAAGATAGCCCATTCTGTTATCTGAGAGCAGAATGCAGACCATCGCAGAGGATAAATAACCCTCCACATCAAATATGGGCGTGCGTCGAGACACCACATGGGTAGAAAGCAGAGAGCGGAAACCACTAAT